GCTCTATCTCTAACCGTTTAGGCGCTAGAGGGTCTTGTTTGACGGAAATAAGTTAAAAATTGCTGTAGTGAACAAATAAATGTAAAAGAAGGCCCAAAACCGCCAAAGAGGTAAGAAACTCCCTCCCCCCACCCCGAAAAACGTTTTCTAAGCAGAAGGGTGGGTTGTAGTCGCGGTGTTTCACCGTTACATCGGTTTCTCGTGTCTACGGGGCAAGTTTTAAGGACGACGGGCTTTGCGGGCCGAAGGCCCGTTACATCATTTGATTATGCTGTACAGCAAATCGCGTGACAGAAATGGTCGGGCCTCCAGGCATCGCCGCCGGCAGGCCAAGCAGGCCCGGCCCCTGCCGAACGGAGTTGCCGGCGCAGCGAAGCGAAGCTGGCAATTTCGTTTGGCGGAAGGGCGGGCCTGCTTGTTTATACTAGTCTCGCGCGCTGCACATCAAAATTTCTTGCAGAACTGAAAAGAGCACCCTTAAAAAACCGTCACCCAAATATCATACAATTTGAACAATTTGTATAGTTCACCCCTCCCCCCCTCCTCCCATTTTAGTAGGGAGGGGGTTTCTTACCTCTTTTGCGGTTCTGGGCCTTCTTTTACATTTAATTGTTCACTACAGCGATTTTCAACTTATTTTCGTCAAACAAGACCCTCTAGCGCCTAAACGGTTAGAGATAGAGCCAAACGGACGAAATTTTCGCCCCAAGGACTCTACTTTGACAAGTTACCCCTTAGGAGACCATTCAACATTTTAGGAAATTATTAAAAAAAAAAATTGGGCCACTTTTGTGAGAGAAACTCCCTCTAGCGCCCAAACGGTAAAAGATAGAGCAAAACGGACGAAATTTTCGTCCAAAGGACTCTACTTTTGCAAGTTACCCCTTAGGAGACCACCAAAAATATATATTTTTTCTGACTTTTTTGACCTACCCCCTTCTTTTTGATACTCCCTTTCAGCCCCTTAGGGTTGGTTGCCAGGATTTGGCGTTGGCGTTTCGTTTTCAAGGAGTAAACCTTGAGATACCCTGAAAATTTGAAGTCTCTAGCACATCTCCTTCTAGTGGAACAGACACACAGACACGAGGTCGTTTGCATAAGCCCGCTGGATAGCTTTTTCGAAGCAGAAGGGCGGGCTAAAAAGACAGATCGAGTTCGAAGATGAGCATTGTAGGTCAAAAATTTGATTTTTAAAAAAGTCAAAAACCACAGGTCCCAAAAATGGCTGTTTTTAAAATAGTTTTGTTCTGGTTTCCTAGGAGGTTAGTCATCAAAGTAGAGCCCTCTGAGCGAAAATTTTGTCCGTTTTGCTCTAGCTCCAACCATTTAGACGCTAGAGGGTATTTTTGACGAAAATAAGCGAAAAAATGTACAACCATGCATGCTTAGTCTAAGTGACGGGGTTGACGGGCCGGAGCCCCGAATCTTTGAGTACATTTTGGCTCTACCCGACTCGGGTGTCAGCGCCGCAAGCCTAGGTAGATGTATGCCAGGCGCGTCGCACCGTAATAGTGTTTCGTGAGATATTGCGAAGCCTGTTACGCGAGACGTGGTCCGGCGTACACCTACCTTGTAAAATATTTTTTTTACAGTTTCCTAAAGGGTAACTCATCAAAATTGAGCCCTTCGGGCGAAAATTTCGTCCGTTTGGCTCTATCTTTAACCATTTAGGCGCCAAATGGAGTTTTTGACGAAAACAAGCGAAAAATGTACAACCGTGCATGTTTAGTCGAAGTGACGGGAAGTTAACGGGCCGGAGGCCCGTATCTTTGTGCACATGCTTGCGCTACCCGACTCGGGTGTCAGCGCCGCAGGCCTAGGTAGATGTCCCGTTTAAAAAAGATTTACCCCAAGAAGTTGCCGAAATAAGCCCAAAAGAGCCCCGGAGGCCACGGGCAGTCCCGCACTTTGTCCGCAGCCATGCCGGACTGTCCCAAATTCAGTCCGTCGCGTCTCCGGGTCACCCCGTGATCAGCCCGGCCCTGGGTGTCGGGGAAACCGAAATCTGCCCGGGGACCTCCCGGCGCCCGGGCAACCCCAGAATCTACCCCATGTGCCGGAAAACCCGGAAACAGCCCGGCTTAAGACCGTCGCGGACAGGTCGCTGGTTGTCTGAACATAATATGGACAGGAACATTTCACGTCAAGATTGATAAAACTTATATACTTTAAAGTTATAATAGCAAAATATCAGAGGCATTCTCTATCTTTAAACAAACAAACGAATTATTTGCACTATTTTGTACATGGCGCACGGGAGTTCAATCTGACTTATAAAATTTCGTATAAATTCATGTACGAAATCTTGGATTATTTTGCAAAAAACTGTACATAAATGCAAGATTTTTGCATGCCCAGCGGTATTGAACAAAGTCCAACGTCTTCATTTAATCGTTCAGGACACGTCATTTTTTTATGTTGAAGGTCGTTCGGCATATCCTTAACAGAGCCCAGTACATAAGCGAAGGCATTTCCCGAAAACCGCGTCGCGATGCGCCAATCGGTTCGCTGTGAAAGGCATCATTTCTGTAAAGACTGCGCATCTAGTTGAAGGACCCTTCCTGAGGCATCTCCTCTCAGCCGTCACCGTAGCTCAGTTGGAAAGAGCGTCAGTCAAAAGAACAGAAACCCGTAGGGTAAGGGATCGAATACCGCTTGTTTCCCTTTTTTTCGTGACCGTTGGGTCGGCTCGGGCATCCCCGAAAACAGTCCGAAGGTGCCTCCGGGCATACCCAGAAACTTTCGGTTTTTGTCACTTCTGGGGTGTGTTTCAGGGCTGCCCGCTAGGTACTTCGGACTAACCCGAAAAGTGCCCTCCCGTCCGGGCTGTTTCGGGGGCTGATCATTTTTAAACGGGGTATGCCAGGCGCGTCGCAGCGCAACAGTGTTTCGTGGAATAGGGTATTCCGCTGTAAGCCAACCGGAACCTAAAGAAGAAAAGCATGACTGCTCGATCTGTTTCCCTCTGCGCGCTGATTGGCTGACTGCCACAACCATGCCATCTTTGGCCAATCAGCGTTCAGGAGGAAACAGATCGGGAAGTCATGCTTTTCTTCTTTAGGTTCCGATTGTGTTGTAGCGGAATACCCTATATCGCGAAGCCTGTTACGCGAGACGTGGTCTGGCGCACATCTACCTAGTAATTGGCTGAGCGATTAGCGAAGCCTATATTTCTACTGACCGGAAAAGTTTCATTCTGTTAGTCTGTCTGTCCGTCTGTCCGCACGATTACTCGAGAAAGAACTGAGAGAGCGATCTGGGAATTTTAGGGTCGTTCTGTATCACCAAAAGACAGATCGAGTTCGAAGATGAACAGTCTAGCGCAAATTTGACTTTAAGAAAAAATCAAAAACCACAGGATGCGAAATATTAAAGTTGTTCAAATATTTTTTATGGGCTCCTAAGGAAGGGGTAACTCGTGAAAGTAGTCCCCTCTGAACGAAAAATTCGTCCGTTTTGCTCTATTTTGTACCGTTTGGGTACTAGGGGGGCATCACTGGACAGAAGAGTGGTGAAAATGACCAAATGATCTATAACACCGTAGAAAGGTCTTTATGTCAAAAAAATTGTGTACCGTCAAAGTGTCATATTCCGGACAAATTTGACCGTTTTTCATCAATATTTCTAAAACCGGTAGGGGTATGAAAAATTCCACCGGATTCTAGAAACTAGGCGCCAAGATACATATTTTCCATCTGGAGAGGAAATTTTCTTTGCGCCAGTTCACCTGCACAAGCCTCTGAAACCCCGTCCGGATTTAAACCCGAAGCCGGGGCAAATCCGTACAGTCCCTATTTTTGCTATTAAATGGCACTAGAACTGGTCGATATGCCAATACTGCACAGCAGCTGCGTGCCAGTACACACCAACTTAACCCGTAACTGCGGAACCAGAGTGATATTGAAATTTTCGAGGCAAAATTGGTCCATTTCAGAAGTTAAGCAACTTCTGCAAAAGTCAGTGCTATTTTAGTAGAAGGGCATTGGTTTCGCAAAATACGCCATAAGAATGTGTACAACAATCTTTACCACACAGGACTTTGTCAAAATTGAAAATTTAGTGCATTTTTAACTAAGATTGGTAAGTGAGAGATCGAGTGAAATACCGTACAATCAATACTACCCGCAAAAGTCCGCAGGATATTAAAAATTTTCGACTCCAGCGTAGTGACGTTAAAGCTGTATCTAGTGACCGTAGCTTAGCATTGGTGCTATGCGGCACACGCATTGAAGTACCGCTTCACAGTTCGTGTACTGGTCGGGTCCTATTATTCAAATTGCACTGCTCTGGGCGGCTCTAAAATGTGAAACTACTAATTATTTAAATCTCCAGAGCCTCCCGGAAAAGTATCTATCTAAATTATGAACCTACATTGTGTAATTTGCTGTAAAAATGCAAAAAAGTAGTGTCCGGATTTACCCTGCTGGTCCGGAATTAGACACTTTGACGGTACACACTCTTATTCACTCGTCTCGGGTGTCAGCGCCGCAGGCCTAGCTATATGTGCGCCAGGCGCGTCGCAGCGTAACACTGTTTCGTGAGATGTCGCGAAGCCTGTTACGCGGGACGTGGTCTGGCGTACATATAGCTAGTGAATATATCGATAATCAGAAGTTTCTTTTCAAATAGACTACCTGTCCCGTTCCTTCCAGGGCGAGAGAAGAACAAAAACTCCGGAAGTAGTACGAGAAATTTTTCGCCCGGAAAAGGCGCTAACGCCGATTTTGACGTCTGTTATCACTCATGTAGCATTGTCGTATTATAAAATTACTCGAAATGCATTTTAAACACCGAACTCAAGGGGTCTCAGTGCGAAAATTGATCAAAATCAGCATACGCGCCTCTTTCGGGCGACAAACTTCTCATACCTCTTCCGGAGTTTTTGTTCTTCTCTCGCCCTGGCAGGAACGGGACAGGTTGTCTATTCGGGAGGCCCTATAGACCATTTCACCCGAGCGCGCTTCGATATCTCGAAGAACAAAAATACCGGAAGTCGCGCTCGGAGCGCTCCGCGCGGCGCGTTCGGCCGGCCGCACCACACCCCCCTCCACCGCAGGTGGTAGAGTCGTCGGTTTGTTTATTTCGGCTTAGCGTTGACTGTTTGAGGCAAACGAAGACACTTTTCCGACTAATTCGAGGCCGGGGAACACGATTCTGCCGTCAGATTTCTTATAGAATGTGAATTACACCTGGTAAGTGCTTAAAATATCGCATACAAGCTATTTCTAAGATCGGCTGTCGCCCATCGGCAGCGGTTCTTGTTCGCTTTGTAATTAATTATAACAAAATGTAACGAATGACAGGTGTCCGACTGGTTTAACTGCAACTGCTCTCCCTTTTCTCAACCTCAAAGTGCATTACGTTCTCATAGAAATAGCTTTTGAATGTAACCTTTCTCGCATTGCGAAGTGGGCTAGGGGTTATAACCCCGTTTTGTTTTGTTTTGTTGTTTTTCATGAAACTTTCATGACACTATCATCAAACATTTATACTAAAATGAAAAAGAAGCGTGATAGTTCATAATTCCTTCTAAATAGACCATTTGGAACCTTTGTCACACAGTAAAACTTCAATGAAGTCAGTCTATTACAAGATATGCTTATGCTTTTGTTTGATTTCCAGGAGAAGTTCTACAGTATAATATGGGAACCCAGGAATTTGTATTCTCTCAGGTAATGAACCACATAAGAGTTGTTAAACTTATTTGATGTTTTTCTGACAAATTTTTGTTTTGATACTTAATGTTTTCTGTTTTACATTTATCTAGGTGGGGTCCAGTGCAGGACCTGGATTTGTTAATGTAGGCAATAACTGCTATGTTAACTCTGTGCTGCAGTGCCTCTTCTCTTTAGAAGAAATTCAAAAACTCTGTGTTGATTTAGCAAACCATAACATCAAGGTACGTTCGTTCTTCATTTTATTTTAAGTGAAGATTATAATAATGCAATTCTTGTTTGATGACCTGTAATATTTTTAACTGCAGGGCTCAGGAAATGTGGCAACAGCTGTCAGTCATCTATGGAATTTGAGGAAGAGGGCAAAGGATTTAGCTGTCGCTCCTGTTAAGTTCCTTGTAAGTATTTTGAGTGATGGACTTTCTTAATTTCATTTTTCTCTGATTAAGGGAAGAACACTTCATTTCAATCTGTATACTATTCCAAACTTCTTTTAGGCAATGTTACAGAAGGAATGGCCTGAATTTTTGCCAAAGGAGCAGATGGACAGCTCTCAATTTCTGTATTTCCTGCTTAATTCTTTGCATAATGAACTTCTGGTGAGTCTTGTTTCACCTAAAATACTGTCAAGTAATTTTACTGACAAAGTGACTTATCCTGGTGTAACATGTTGTATTAGATCATACAGCAACTTCAAGGAGACCCCTCTTAAAGAGGACAGTTGGCTTTCCCTTATAGTGCACTCTTGGAAGTATAGAGTCAAGTCTCCAATTTCAGAAATTTTTGGAGTTCAGGTGGTCAGACTCACTTCATGCAGTGGGGGCTGCTCTTATGAAAATGTGTCGTGTAGGGACATTGACTTCATTACCACAATTTTTATACCTGAGTGCGAGAGCATTGCCTTGAGTGTCAGTTGCACTTCCCATATGTTTAAATTTTTTCTTACAATTTTTTGAAAATGGAATTGTTATTATATCTTATTTTTTTTTCCCAGGATTGTCTTAGGAGTCACTGCAAGGAAAATTTTTTGACGGATTCTAAGTGTGACTTTTGTAAAAAAGTGGGCACACTTCGTACCACACTTTTGTTTGGCAGAGTGCCAAAAGTTTTTGTAATTCAACTTGGAAGGTACTCATTGGTTTTATCTATGAAATGCATGCTACACTTTCCTCTCAAGTATTTTTAATTAGACAAACATGCATGCTGTATTATTCTACATCATCAGTTTCTTTTTGTAACTAATTCTGTCTGACTGATAACTGTACATAACTTTGCGTGGTGACTTGGCCCTCCTAGGTTTGTCCAACGTTCCCCCACTCATTTTCATAAGAACAATGCAGCAGTGGAGTTTGAACAGAATCTGAACCTAGCTGACTATGTAGTAGAGGGGCTGCAGACACAAACCTCCTACTCCCTTGTTGGAGTCACCAACCACTCGGGCTCCCTTCAATCTGGCCACTACACCAGTTTCATTAGGAAGAATGACAGGTGACTTGTCTTAAATCTATGGCTGCATTTAGTAAACAATTTTAGTATGCTGCCAAGACCCTATAGTTGAAAATATTCTGAAGAGTTGAATCTTGTGTTTCTTATGCTGAATGTTGCACTACATGCAGTAATTTAAAGCACTTTAATTTTAATAATTTTATTTAAGGAAAGAGCTAAATTAATTCAATCTATGAAAACAGAATATTTTCTTTCAAAAATTATGTTTGCACTAACATCTTTGATGACTAAACTACTTTGGAGTAGTATAATTTTTCCCCAAATTGTCCCTTTGGTGTAGATGGTATGAGTTTGATGACTCAAGAGTGTCCAGTGTCACAAGTAGAAAACTGGACCCCAGAAAGGCATACCTTCTTTGGTATTCCCGCTTGCCACGAGTTGTTCCTGATGGGAAATCTAGTCTTCCCACCTGCTCACCTATAAATGTGTCTGCAGCTCCACGTCCTTCTCATCTTGCCACTCCTCATAAATTACAGACAACCGTAACATTATTTGCTCTAATTTTTTGTCTTTTTTATTTTGTTACATTCTTTAACAAATTACTTGTGTACTGATATATTTCATTTATTTTCACAGCAATCTGATTTAGAACCAGCTCCCTCCCCTAAAAAAGCAAAGGTATAAAATATACTCATGCAAAAACTGTGTCCCTTCTCCTACTGAATTTCAAATTAATTGTACCTAACAACAAAATCCTCTGTTTTGAAGGTCTCATCTCAGTGGTTGCCTGACATCCATGAGGACTTAGGCTGCATGCCTCTGGTACATATACTTCCCTTCATGTGGTGCTGGGAAATTTCTATCTTTTTAAGTCTGTACTCTCTGTTACACTTATTTTTTGTTTCCTGCTGTTATAGAATACATCCTTTTCAAGTAGTGACTCCAGAGAAAAAAGTCCCAAGAAGAGGCCGGGGAGAAGCAAGTTCACTGTATCTCCACTTATTGTTAAACGTACTAAAAGAAATAAGGTAAATGTGAATTCCTATAAATAACAAATAATGTAGAATTGTTCCTGGAAAATTAATTCCTTCATGTACTTACAGACAACATCAAATCAGTCCTCCCATGATTATAATGTGAGGACTCAAATAAGCAACATCAATGGCAACCCAAATAATGAGGCTAGGTCTGGGCAGCAGACCTTGCCCTCCGTTCCTCCAGTTGTCATTCAACGTAAGAGAAGAGAAAAGGTAAGCAGTAATGCATCACTTGAAGACTATAGTATAAATTTACTTTTATTTATTTCCGTTTCTATTTGCAATTTTCTTAGACTACTTCAAATCAGTCCTCCCATGATTATAATGTGAGGACTCAAATCAGCAGCATTAATTGCAACACAAATAATGCGGCTAGGACTGTGCAGCAGAGCGTTCCTCCAGTTGTCATTCAACGTGCCAGAAGAGAAAAGGTAAACAGTAAATGTATCAAAAACTGTTCCCCAAAAGTTATTGTTTGACAAGTTGTCTTTGATTATTTTTTGGTATTGACTTACAGACCGCATCAAATCAGTCCTCCCACGATTACAATGTGAGGTCTCAAATCAACAACATTGACAACAAGAAAGAGTCTTCATTTGTGTTATTGAGTCCAGCTCACTTGGGAAAAGTGAGTGAATTTGCAGATGTACTTGACCCCCCTGAAGTAGGTATTTTCCTTTCCTGAAACTAAATTCTCAAATCTTTATTTTGTATCCTTTTGTTTTTATTGTCATATTTTCCAGCAGGAAAAGACTTTCTATTTTGTTGAAGAGGGAGACCCAGCTGGGTCTAATCTCTTTGGGGACGACATTCCAGAGGAAGGACAGTCTGACAGGGTGAGTGCAATCATTGGATTTCTTACTATGTCCTTAGAAATATGAAATAAATTGGATGAATTCTTTTCTTGTAGGAACCTTCCTTCCCCCCAGCTTCCACACAAGATACTGATGGTGACAAGTCAATGTCCATGTTTGGAGAAAATAATCTGGAGAATGTTGGAGGAGCAGAGTGTTCTGCCAGGGTGAGTGCATTTACTGGTTAACAAGATTGTTTTTCAGAAGGAAATCTATATTTTGGATTCTAATTTTCTGACTGCAGGAGCCAACATCCTCACTGGCTGATCAGCCCGTCCGAACAGCATTTTTTCCAGTCGTACTGACAGAGGATGATGGGGTACCTGGGGCACGTTTGCCTCGACAGCCATTGGCGGCAAATACAAATAAAATGCTGAAGCGTTGGTTGGAATGCCGTGGTAAACCTACAGGAGGTCGGAGAGAGGAGTTACTTGAAAGGTGAAGAGGCAGGATAGGTAAATTTTGAAAGTAATTTTATGTGTTTTGATTCACTTTTATGTGGTTTTGCTTTTACACAGGGTTGCTTTGCTGAAAGCTCTACCAAATAGCCACATCCTAGACGTCAAGGTTGACAAGGGGTATTGGTATGAACGCAAGTGTGAGACCCTAAGAGCTCAACAAGTACACCAGGTAAATACAAATACTTATCTCTTCAAATTTAAGGGAATATCCTGCCTAAATCTTTTGCAATCACTTACAGATTGTAAATAGCCAGGCACTTCCTTCCACACAAGTTCATCAGTATCCAACTGAAGGCTGGAAGCCTTTTCCCAGTGTTGACATGCCTGTCATGTTTAACTATGGGCATATATATTTTTACCTAGTGGAGAGCATTCCCTCTCTTCCACAGAGTGACGAATCGGATGAGGATTGCGAAGATATCCCAGAAAGTAGCAGAATTCAAGATCCATTTGATGATGAACACAAGAGTTTGCAGGATGTGAAAACTTTGAGGAAAGGGCTGCGATTCTTCAAGAGCAAGTATGTAAGGAATGTTCATGATGTTTGTGAAGCAGGAAGGACCTACTTTGTAAAAGCAGAAGTGAGAGCATCAATGGAAGCTGTT